GATGAGTCTACTTTGTCACAGGCCGCTATACAGAGCTTCAGACAGAGATACTTCAAATTCATTGCAACCTCATTAACTGCATAATATGGGTCATTTCGGATTAACCTGTCATGGAGGCCCTGGGGCAAAAATGAGCTGTTGGGCCCCTACTGACCCCCACATTCCTCAAGTACAGTGGTATTTTGTTGTGGGCACCAGGAAACAGCCAGTATTTTTATGCTGGAATACTGCCTGGTTCTATGTTTGTTATATGATCATTAAACTAAATACAGATTCATTTAGGAAAGTGCAACATGTGAGCACAGCATTCATCCTATACCCTGTTCTTACCAAAAAACAAATGACAAGCAATGAACTTTCCGGAGCCTAGAGCAGCTGTCTGCCCAGCTGGTAGTCCAGCCAAACTTTACAGGTGTTACCTGGTTAGTAAAAGTGGTAGCCATAGGCTGTGGGCAAGAAAATGAGCTTCCTCCCTGCACCATTCACTGTTGCATTTGTGTTTGCAGCCAAAGGGCGAGTGGAGCTGCTAAGGATCAACCTGACAGAGCTGGAGCTGGCCAGTGATGTGGACTTGGACAAGATTGCAGAGCAGTTGGAGGGTTACTCAGGAGCCGACATTACCAACGTGTGCAGGTCAGCTATCTCTGCTGTTACGTCTTTCAAACCAATGTTGATCTCTCCAGTAGTTTGTATTTGAAACAGAGATTAAACAACAATTACCCCACCCCAGCCACAGCCTGATCATCCTGCTGCTGTCTTGCAAATGATACAGTAGTATCCTCAGGCTGTGAGACTCCCCAATTCATGATTGCACTCATAAAAAAATATTTTTTTCATTGATAATGGTAAGTAAATTAACATTGAACCTTATATGCACAAAATATAATATGATCTGTGTCATTGCTACAGTAGATGAAATACAATAAGGTTTGAGTGTCCAGTGACCTGGTGATACATCCATATAATTTCCACAACCTTTGTTGCATTATACCCCTTTCTGTCCGATCTGTATCTCATTCATTGTTAAATAAAGGCATATAAAAAATGCAGCACGGTACTGAATCTTCATTTTGCTGCAGTGCACCACTGCTGTAACTTTTTGAAAAAGTAGCAGGTAATTTGCTGCAAGTTGGTTGAATACATGTACAAATATGCTATATTTACAGTTCCTAATAAGTTTTTTCATTACATCAGTTTTTAAATTTTCATTACATCAGTGCTTCTTGTAAAGCTTTCATGCTTCATGATTTAAAGTCCAAATGGTAAACAACAAATCCTAAATGTGGCCCCTTATTGAAAAAGAAAAGGAAAAAAAAATTGTTTTTTGCAGACAGAAAATTCACTTCATGTGAGTTCATTCATGTGGATTAGTTCATTGGTAGTCCAAGTGCCTCTATTGAAATCCCTTGTTGTGTGACTGCAGGGACGCCTCTCTGATGGCCATGAGGCGAAGAATCGAGGGCCTCACACCAGAGGAAATCCGCAACATTTCCCGGGATGAGATGCACATGCCCACCACCATGGAGGACTTTGAGTCAGCTTTGAAGAAAGTGTCCAAATCTGTGTCTGCAGTTGACCTGGAGAAGTATGAAAAGTGGATTGAAGAGTTTGGGTCCTGCTAAAAAGACACCAGCATCCAAGTCATCTGTGCCTGAATGTGTAACTATTATAATGCTGAGTTGTAGAAAAACAGTGAGTTTGGGTTGTGGTTGTGTATTTTTCTAAATCATTCAGACGATATTGAGGATATGATGTAGGTTTATTGCTTTAGGTAAATATGTGCAATTAAAAAATGGCACCTCTTCCTATTGTACATTATGTTAATGTTATGCGACATTCTAAAAAGCTTAAAAGGTGACTTAAGAGTCAACTTGAAATCATGACATTTTTCATGTTTTAATGATGCTAAAATCATCAGACATGTTAGACAAGATAAACTGTAGCTGTAACAGACAAATCTGAGGACACAGTTTCCACAATGTTTCATGTTTCCCAAGTGTCATAATGTCAATCAAATGTTTCTCTTCTCTTTTTTTTTTAGTGCACTTTTGGATTTTATTTTTTATTTTGAACCATGTGGTTCATTCACAGTTTTGGAGATGTTATGAATGTAACACTAACAAGATATGTTGATAAATAAAGTTAACGATTACGTATATTAACATTGTCTTACGTGTAAGTTTGTTTACTGAGCAATATTTCTGCTAGGGAAAATAACTACTACACTCGGGCATTCTGAAACATTCATTTTAAAATCTAACTGGTAATTTGAGTCTTGTGTTGTTGGGCTGAATTAAAGTGAACCATACAATTGTACATGGATCTGTGCAGTATACAGTGTCTACACATTTGTACCATTACTTACACGCTGTTAACGCTGATTATATGTGCAGGACACACGTCATTAAAAAACTGTCAGTGGTTTCCTGGAGGCCATGGAGTTTAAAACGCTGAATTTATAATTGCAGCTTTCCCAGTTTGTGTGTAAATTAGGGCTGTGTTTTGGCAATAATCTGATACATATCCCAACACAGGGGTTATAATTCAATATATTCTGATATATTGCAATTTATTCAAATCTAGTTTTAGGAAAAATGTCATAGTATAAAGATATATCGCAAGACAAATATTCAAATTGGTGAGATTAAAAATTTGTATTTTTTACAAAGAAAAGATAATATGTATTGTTTTACAATGTATACCCTACCTCAGAAATAAATTTTAAAAATCATAATAATATAATAAAAACAAGAGAAAATATATTTTGTAGATTTTCTTTTTTTCTTATTCCCCTACTGTAAATGATACAAATTGCCAAAACTAAGAGCATGCAACTTTGCAGATCCAGTACTGAGTGGAAGGAGACTCTGTAGTTAAAATCAGATACAATACTGCTTGTGTCCTTATCTACCCAAACAGCATTCACTAGCTAGACTACACATGCACCTTTTGCTATGGCAGCACGTCATGCATTCTGCAGAGTAAACTGAATCCTGGGGAGGACGAAATCTCGACCTCAGCTGTGCTGAGGTACACAAGCTGATGTTTTAAGGGTGTTTTTTAAAAAGCATTTTAAAATAACACTAAGACCATTTTGAAACACTTGAAACACACTGAGTTTTGGATTTAATTAAACCCACTTTTTTGGACCAAAAATCTGCCTTGTGTGCCCACCTGTTTGGTCCCTCACCAGGCCTAGTAAACATTGGGGAGTGGATACTTTATCATTCAGTCATTCTTGCCTATAAGTCATTTTGAGATTTCACCACAGAAAGAAAATGGGAAAAAAGGTCCAAGTCCAGTTTTTACTCCAAAAAGCAAAACTAAGGCATAAGTGCAGACTCTTTCCTTTAACAGTAATTTACACATTGAATGTATGGTCATGTCTTGTGCACACACTGTCTTTTTCATTGGTCATAATAGTAGTTTGTCTTATACGTCTCAAGTGCATAGACAATCTGAACAACCTCACTTACATTCTCCCATTATTAGAAACAGGAAACACAAACCACAAAGAAAACAAATGACACCCCCCCCCCCCCTTTGCTGATAGGGGTCACTGAGGCACTGTGAAGAAAGACAATCAATGTATGAGCCTCAATAGTGGGCAGCGGAGGGAGGAATTTCTTCATTAGTGACATTCAGAGTTAAGAAGAGTTGAGGGAGGGAAACAACTGTCTCTGAATGTGCAGACACTTGATCTGAAATAACATTTTCCAGACAGTGATCTGCATCTTTTTTCTTTTCAGATTAAATATTATTTTGCTTCTTGTGAGCCATATATAACAACAGATTCAAACATAATGGCTTTAATTATTCATCTTGTCTTCGCTTAAAGTACGACAGAACACTGCCTGCCGTGTGGTTAATAAATATATAATATAAACTCATTGTAGTGCATTTGCTGTCATTTTTTTTCAGCAGTGGGGTCCAATTTTGGAGAAAAAAGTTAGTGTGAAGAAAAGAATTGTGACCTGTACAGAAGTGCTACATATAGAAAGTCTTTTCAGTGAACATAAAGACTCCAAATTGTTGGCTGCAGCTCCTAAAATGCTCAGTTTGTTCTTTTGTTAATTCTACAGTACTGCTTTCCTAAGCCTCCGTCTATTCTAATGTATGTTGCCAGGTTTTGGTGCCAGCATACAGCCAAAAAAACACAATACGGTCTAAAGGTCCATTTAGTAGCTGTTCTGAGTACATTTGTGACTTAATAAAACTCTATCTGACCAGTCACAGGAGCAAAGAGTTTGATTTTCTGTGCAAATGATGAAAGAGCTCTTAGTCCCTCACAGAGATTCAACACTATGAATCACTCGCTTTTTTTCCCATTCTGATCATGTGACTAAATTTGAGGGATTCACTTGGACTAGCATTAAACCATCAAATTGAGTTTAGTCAATTTGATGGCTTTAAACCACCTACTGTTCCTGTTCTAATGTGCTGAAGTGAAAATAAAAGTTTGAAAGTCTGAATAGAAGCTAGCAACAAAACCTGACACAGTAACCAAGGTTGAAGAACAAACGAAAACAAACTGAAAATAAAGGAGCTGGCCATGTCAATCTTCATTCAAGGCTTCTTGTCTTCTTCTTCTGCTTCTATTTCTATGTTCTCCAATAGAGTGTGCTTCTCCTCCTCTGGCATTAGAGTGACAGGGTTTAGGTGAAAAATGTGCCTGTAAAAAAAAAATAAAGATAAAAAAGCTTAGCATTTTGAAGATAATCAGGTAAGGCAGACCAGCTGGTCAACGATGACATCGTTAAAAACATCTTACATATTCCAGCAGACTATTTGTTCACTCACAAACCCCCATTAAACAAACTCACTTGTGTTCACAGGTCGGGAAGAAGATGTCCAAGATCTTGACGATGACCGCAGATCCGACAACGCCGATCACCACCACCCACATGACCAGGAAGAAAAGAGGCAGTGACTCTGAGCTGAAGCGCCTCAGACGTTCCCTCACTTCCTCCACCCACTGACACATGGCCTGAGGAGGGGACGGACACAGACATATGAGCATGTCCTGCCGGTACAAGGCTCTACTAGCACTAGATAATGCAGAAAGGTTTCTGAGCCACGTCCTAAGATGTGCACAAGTGAAGGCAAGAGAAGAAACTAGGGTTGCAACTAACAATTATTTTCATTATTGATTAATTGATGTCTGTGAAATGGTGAAAAATGTCCACTGTTTCCCAAGGCCCAAGCTGACTTCAAATGTCTTGTTTTGTCCAACAACCCAAGATATTCAGTTTACTATCATAGAGGACTAAAGAAAGCAGAAAATAATCACATTTGAGAAGCTGAAATCAGAACATTTGGACGATTTTCAAGTTGGCGATTAATTCAATAGTTGAAAACTAATCAATTAACCAATGAATCATTGCAGGTCTACAAGAAACCAAAGTGACTACAAGCTTACGTGTCTGCATTAATTGCAAAAGTAATAAATGGAAAATGTTCAATATCCCCAGAAGGGAAACCTCTTTTTCAGCTCACAGTACAGAATTGGCTTTTGGCATCTAGTGATCTGGTCAGAGCCCTGGATTTTAACTAAGTGGTGGATAGTTCTGCTGAGGAAACCCATTGTTTTAAGGTAAGACAGTTAAGCAATTATATATAAGGTACTTTTTCTGTCACTATTTGGCCAAACTACATTTTAAAATTTTGAAACACCCTGATTTTCATATCGGTCTCAATGGTATCTCCAAATCTTCTCAAAGCTTGCTTTACTTTTTTGAAAATTATGAAACTGTATCAGCATACAGTTTCACAACATCAGCAGTGACCAGGAAGGTAATTTAGGGGCACTACTGTGAGCTATGACAAACAGAGTGTGTGTATTCTACATCTAAAAAGTCTAACCTAACCCAGAAGTTAGCATCGCCCTTGTGTAGTTTCATTAAGCCACTTCAAAATTCACAGGTAGGGTATATTTACTGACCTATTTTAAATAAACTTTGAATAAACTTTTCCAACAGACCCCAATCAGCCTGATTTCATGGGAATCCAGAAACTGCCATCCTCTTCCTCTTGTATACCAAACCACACCATCCACTGACAGCTTTCCTGCTGAAATGGTCAGACACCTCTGTGACAGTACATACTGAGTGTCATCAGCTAGATGGATCATCACATTTGGCTTACAGAGTAAGATGATATGAATTCTTTGGGCGGAGTTTCCATCTGAATCTGATCTGGCTGGCTTGGCTCTCGGTCATCAAATTCATCTTCATATTTGACATCATACAGCAGGTCGGGGTCCATACGCAAGGGAGTCTCCGGGAGCTTTCCCGGGGCTGCGATCTCCTCCTGGGTGGTTTCTGTGTGCTTCAGGGGGTACTGGCTGGTGGTCTGGGAGATCAACTGTTCCTCATCTTATTTAAAAAAGCGTGGAAGAAACAAGAATACACACTAAATTGGACTGCTACCTCCATAATGATAATAATTATGATCAGAATAAGCGCCATGTTTCCATACCTTTTCTAGGATTTGGTGGATCTGTGACAACAACATCGTTCTCTCTGGGAACCCTGAATATCTCACTGTGTCCGATGGGGTAGATGTTGGTAAACTGGGCCAGTTTCTGGAAATCTGGGCTCAACAGTATTTTCACCTCACACATGTCAGGCTGTTGGACCTAAATGACACAAACCCAGTATGTTTTACACAGGGTAAAAAGGCCTACAACATAAAATGGAACAGTCTGCTGAAAGTTAAGGATGAGATGGTAAGAGATATTTACCTCTTTGCCCTCCATCTCTATCACTTCACTGAACACCTGCAGAGCCACCACCTCCTCCGAGTCACTGTATAGCCGGTTCTGGCTCACCATCACCCGGGTGACAGTGGACACCAAGTCCCCAGATTCAAAGTCACTGCTTCCATTGACGCTGTCTACTGGAAAAGTACAATTCATTGTATTGATAAGCAGTTTATGACTTCAGTTCCTACACCATTAGCTAATGAATCCATCAATTAAATAGCAGAAAACAATCATGTTTTGATTATGAATTATATATCAAGTCGGCAAGCATTTGCTGTTTGAAGACATCCCTTTAGAAGATTGCTTGTGATGGGTACTTTAATCATTTCTGACATTACAGTATTACAGTATAGCAGGGGCTGACATGCTACAGAAATAATTAAAACATCTTATTCAATAAAGGCACGCTGTGCAGAAAAAATAAGGAGAAAGAAGAACAAAATCTGCTCAACATATAACATATAATATACTGGAGAGCTAAGGCTACATTAACACTGCAAGCGTTAGTACCTGATTGTGATTTCCTGCTCAGATAGATTATTTTTGTTTCGTTGTTAAATGTGGCCACTATCAGATTCCAGTGTGAACAACTCAGTCCTGAAGTGACCAGCATGATGAAAGTTGATCTACAGCAGGGCTCTTAAAAAAATGTCGGCCCGGGGGCCATTTCCACAACATTATGTCAAAAATATAATATAATCCAGCCCGCAAGCTGTTTTTTTGTAGTTGTTTCATATACATTTAAGGTACCCCTTCATACACATTTAAATAACAACACAATTCTATTTCAAATTTGTATTTTGTTTGATACAAAATAAAGGCTGCAATGGGTTGACAAGAAGAGAGCCGGTTTCAGGCCTTCATTTGTTGTTTGGTCAGGAGCAACAAATATGATATAAAAATGTATAGAAACTGCTGTTTGTTTGTTTTTGTATAATGTAAATAATGCCAATATTTTCAGAATATTGAGCTTTCTTCTAAAACTTGAATATTGAAGTAGCCCTTCTATGAGATAACAATACCAGCAGTGGCCCCAAGCCAATTTCAGTTTGAGACCCCTGGTCTAGAGTGATTAAAAGTAAAAGTCACATGAATTCTAATATGACATATTTAACACTGAGGTCACATTGCAAAAAATGACTTGTACTGTTCACACTGCATGAAAAAAACAGATCTAAGTCACATGAGCAAAAAAAACAACCCACATTTGAGTCACTTTTGCCTGCAGTGTGAACATAGCTTATACCAGCCACATACACGATTATTATGATTATTGATTTATCTTTTGAGTGTTATTGATTCAACTATTTTACATAATCACTAACAATATAATGGCATGATATGGAGAAGAGAAAGCAACCTCATCGAATTTTTTAATTTAGTAACAAGAATAATTGTTGTTTTGGTTTAATCCATGGATTAATCACAACATGTGATCAAGGAAAACTCACAGAGAAGGGCTTGGCAGTTGAACCTGGTGACCCCTGACAGCTCTACTGGGATGTCATTGACCAGCACCTGCTCTTCGCCCACCGATATGTTTAAATTGATCTGAAAGGAGAGATCACAACATTAACGCTTGGTCGCATTTTTTAAAAAACAGACCCACCTCTACACCTTCGCTAAGTAAATTGGCTTATATCGTATACCTGCAAGTTGTTGGTATCCTGCAACTGTGTATCCGCCAGTGTCCCTGCTGTCACATTGATCAGGATGTTTTCCTGTGGAGATCGATGATTAGAAATAAAAGGAAAAGAAAACCCAAATAGACGCGACCACAGTGTCTGCCAGTGAGGGGATTTTACGCTGGATGATCAGCAAGCTTATGCTATGCTAACATCAACATCATAGATTAGCTTAATATGTTGCTGACATTTGCCAGTTTGTGTCTTACCGTGTTCAGTTGCCTAGGCGGTGACTCTGTGCACGTTACTGAGGCAAAAAGAAGAACCATAATACTAACTGCTAGCCCTGTTGTTTCCATTTTGTGTTGGCTTATCTTACCAGCAGCAAGGTTGCTAAATCAAAAACATTGAGCAATTCATTTGTACTGCGCACGCGCGGGGAATTTCCTGACACTCTCTTCTCGCGAGATCAGGAACAGCATGGCGGTGCTCCTTGAAACGACGCTGGGCGATATTGTAATCGATTTGTTTACAGAAGAAAGGCCTAAAAGTAAGAAAATAAAGCCATTTCCACATAACGGAAGCTAATTTCTTGACCTGGATGCTAGTTGAGTAAGCTATTGACGAGCTGAGTTACAGAATAAGTGGGTGCTAGCTAAGGCTGTTAGCTTGCTTGCGTCATATTCATTTGTTTATTTAACATTAGAAATCAATAACAACGAAACTGGAATAAACCAATACACACTCTGAAGTTGTTAACGCCAAATAGGCACTGCGTGTTTTTAAGGATTTGGTAAATTGTAATGACAGTTTAATTTTAACCCTTAGGT